TAAGGCTTAAAAGAACGCGTAAACAATATTCATGAGCTTGCTACCCTAACCGCTTGAAATAAGCAAACAGCTACCATTAGTCAGTATCTAACCTATACTAATATACTATAAGTGGTTTGATAGAATTTTTGCATGAGCATACACCGTCTGTATAAGGTTATAATTTGCGAAGCATACATATAATTATTAGAACCTTTAAGTACACAATAATAAACAAGCAGAGCAAGACAAATGTGTACATTATTAATTAATATGAATATACGAGCATCAATTATTGCTTTATACTTGAACTAATCTCAATGTAAATAAATAACAGGGACGTTTGAAACTATAACGGTGAAACCAGTATATAAGAGCGAACTTTCACTTACAAAATGTATAGTGGGTTGTAAGGTAACATCACATACCTAGGTATAATTAATTGATATGCTTATTCTTAATTATATTAGTCGTAACTATTTAATAAAGTTTAGTTTAATAAATGTCGTAACTGTAAATGAAGACAACGTAGGTAACTTTATGTATAACAAATCTAGTCGAAATTTTAGATCACTCCTCCAGCATCCAATGGAGAAGTAGCACTAAATTATTTTTTAATTGATGTTTTTAAATGTGTAATGAATTTATTTCTTTATTATATACTGAAATGAACGTTTTACTTGACACACATTATTTACATGATTAATAACCCAAATTAATCGCGTTAATGGTACAGAAAAGAGCTGGAGAGATCTGTCATAAAAGGAGATGACAACCGTTTACAAATTAAATCGCAATTTATGATTGGCGAGTTCAGAGTGTGCATGAGGAAAGATGTGAGATTGGCCCGGCCCAGGTCGATCTTCCCAAAAAGTTCACTGCGGGAGATTGAGTTTGTTTAGGTTAATTTAACTATTTTTGTAGTTGATTTGTGTCCCTTTTTCTAACGAAAATCATATCACGGCCAATTTCACCGTGGCCGCGCACATTTTGACAGCGGCTTCTTTGACTATAAATTCGAAGGACACTAGAAAAGAAATCTACTTAGCCATGAGAAAAAACAAATGAGAAACTTGAAGTTCAGGTGCTATACTGTGTTCGCATCTCCAGATGCAGTATGGGGTCTTATGAACTAAATGCATCTCCTAGTAATTTGCGTTATTCTTCGATAACGCTATTCTTGTTCCTCACAGCAATGGTGCCAAACTGACATATGATTGAATTGAAGTATTAAAACAACCTAATCTCCTTGTGCTGTAATTGTCACGTGTGTTAATAAGTTTGCCAAGCATGTACCTACTGTATGCCCATAAGCACCATACTGCATCTGGAGGTGCGAACAAGCTATAGTTTATATCATATTTTCTTACTCTATCTATAATTGATAAATCTTTCAAAGCCATTGAATCCTAAAGATATGTCTTAGGAGCTTGTAAAGACATTTCCGTATCTAAAAATGTGCCCTTTTGGTCATAACTCAAAAACAAGACTGTAGGCCAGTTTGATAATCAAGATCGAGTTTATCTCAAAAGAATACATCGCGACTGTGAGGTAAAGTTATATAGTCAAAATGTCAATTTTAGTTTTCATTTTCCCTAGTTTAAACCGGCCATTTCCGACTGCTTAAGTTAGGGAAAATGAAAAAGAAATTTGAGATTTTCAGTTTTTCGGTGATATCTCAGTTATTTTTAAAGATTTAACAAAAATTTAAAATGCGTTTTTATAGACATAAAAAGGGGCATCTTGGCTCCCGTTTAACCTACACTATATCTCTCACCGTTACGGAATTCCCAATAGTGAGCCACGAATTTAAACCACCATCTGTTATTCAAGGAGCCCCTTTTATAGTGAAATATCAGTTTTATGAAACCTCAGCTAATACCGCAAAGTGACTCGCGCTTCGTTATTTCTTATGGGATGCTACAATTTGTAATCTTTTATTTAACCGTATGAATGTGGAGTTTATATGCAATCGTATCCGATCAGCAGAAAAATGTGTCGCTTACTATAATACTCATACAAAACATAAAAAAATAATGTAAGATAAGATATGCTTAAAAAACGGTTATATTTGTTTTGCGGGTTACCAAATTCTACTACTAACCATAATGTTAAAAAATACAAACCGTAAATTATGTAAAACAAGTATAAATTGTGCACAACGCTTGGGCAGATAAAGCGCATTTTTTTTACACCGAAATAGCTTTTGTTTTGACATCACCAATGGATATATTTCTTGCAGACGTCTCAATCGCTCTTTGTGAGTACCCTCTTCCAACAATCCGTTCTTGAGGTATAAGGGAATATACCCGATCACGATAAGAAGTCGAGGAGGAGGGCTATGGTTGGTAGAAATTAATGCTTTCTGCTGTTTTGACCTATTTTTAGGGGAATGGGCCTAGAATTTTGCAATATGTAACCTATACCTTGAAGGTGTGCCAGAAGGTCATCAAATTCCCCCCCCCCCCTGCATTATTCCCTGAGATGCTGTTTTTGAATGTAAAAAGTGAATAAGTTTTGTATGTGACAACGAACTGGTCTCAGAATTTGCGTCCGCATGCCAAATAACATTTTTGAAAATGAGGGGGGCGGAGGTGAACACATTTTCTACCCTTCATGGTATTTTAATGAACGTCTTACCGAAATGAATTGGTTTGTATAAACTATACTTTCCTGCGCGACTCCTTTCCGATGTCAGTAGGTGGCCGGGGTGAAGAGGAACGAGGTAAAAATTAATTTTATCTTTAATGGTATTCCAATTAAAGGTCTCAACCCTGGTCTCAACAAAAGGAACTGTTTGCTACCAACTACCGCCCTACTTTCTGACTCCTTATCAAAAGAGCATGTTTGAGGGGGGCGGGGGGGGGGACTAGTTTTATCCTTCATGGTACTCTAATGAAAGGTCTCACCAAAGGAATTGATTTCTACCAACCATAGCCTCCTCCTCGACTCCATATCGTGACCGCATATAAATAATTCCTTATAACTCAAGAACAGATGGTCGGAGGAAGGGCGATTGGGACGTCTGGAAGAAATATATCTATTGGTGATAACAAAACGATCGAATATCTTTGTCGGAGGAAGGTACCCACAAAGGCAAACAGAATTTTCTGAGCGGGACATATCTAACAATAAAAAAACATTGATAAATAAATAGCAGGCCACTGTCTTATAACGCAACCATTTACTAAGCTATTTCGGTTTTAAAAATGCGCTTTATCTGCAATTTACAATTTTTTTGGTATGTTAGCATACAATTGAGGCAACTTTTTCGTGGTACTTATAGCGAAATTATAACATTTTCCGATCTACAATTTTCAATAAATCACTATACGCCGCATTCGTTTCAAATGTTTGAGTTCTTATGTGTCAAATTGACGTGGAGTTGGCATGGCACTTTTAATATTGATTTGTGAAAAATGATCCATTTTGAATATTGAGCTTTTGGCTGTCAAAATGGACATAAAGTTACAAAGCACTTTTAGCATGAGATTTCTGCTCAGACTTTGAATTTGATACCATTAAAAAGTTCAAAATGTCCTCTAAATACTCTAAATAATGAAACGCTGAATAATTTTTGATCTCATATAGTTGTCATGCCAATTTCTATATCGTACTATTTGACAGTATAGAATTAACCTTTGAGGTTTGCTTTGAATTCGAGTTCGTTATTGTCTCTTTTATACAGGAGGTATTAGTGGGGTGTCTTATTGGTACAGTAGGCCGTAACATGGGGGCGAAACCAACGAGAACAAATGAAATTTTTTGTGATTGGGAAAATATTGGAATGTTTCAAGAAGGGTAGGTTTGCCCTTGGATAATCTCTAGTGTTTTACAATCGTTTCACAAGAAGAACTCCAATTAACGGCGATCGGTTTCAAATTTAGTCATAATCTACTCTTAGTATGATTGCCTCTTGTCCTCACTCTTCAGAAAGAGGGGTGCATGAAATTACTAGCAAAAACTAAAATAACCTCATAGTCAGAATTTCACAGTACTAAGTGGACACAACAATGATTGATGGTATCCTGTCACGGAGATGCTATTAATTAATTGCTTCATAATTATCATTTTATACATAGGTACCTACATAATATACGCTAAAAAGGTACCTCCAATCTAATGTTTGTATAAGTATACGTATAGCTCACAATATGGAAATCGCGATAATTTAAATAAATTGTTTACTAACAGGTGTAGCATTGATTGTGCAAATAAATTATTAGTTAATTCTACCCATTTACTTTATCATTTTGTCCCAAGCCGAATTTCTATTAAAATATGCAAGTTATATGGAATCGAATCAACATAAGTGCTATATTATGTTTTTAGGAATATGGTTCAATGCATCAAAGTGAGATGCTTACATAAGGGAAATTTGTTGTTTAAGGCGGTTTGAGTAGAAATCGTGAAAAAGGAACAAACCTACATTGGTAGCAACCAGTAAGTGATACTTCTACCGGTGCGTAGATATGCAGATTCCTGGCATTTGCATAAAGATTATGTTCGCGTACCATGAAAGTGCATCGAAACGAGTAAAAGTAACTGCAAACCCTTATTAATAAAAATAGAAATTATGCTTTCTTAAAACGTGTGTGTTTGCGGTTATGAACAGCACCAGTATATTGATTTGATAGAAGGAGCAGGCTGTTAGGGAAATTAATGTCATTATTCTTCAACATTGTAATGTGTAGGAGCAGGTGGAGCTGGGTTCGCCACACCTTTAACGTAAGACCATAATGAATAGATAACCGTAGCGGTAGTTCTTGTAGAACTTTTGAGATATCGATGCGTTGTTCTACTTTATAACGGCTTGATCCTACATCAACAATAAAATGCTGTAATGTAGGGTAATGGATTTTTATAATTGAAGTTGAAGAGGATTTTATGTCTAATGGTAATTTAAAGCCATGCTCTGGCGTTTTTACTTCATCAAGCATGTGGCTGTGATTCATAAAAGTCGACATACTTAACACAGTCATTAACCTTTACACGGTGATGCCAATTAGGATATAAGTAAATAAGTAAAAAAAATCTTATTTTTATTGACTCGTATAAAAATAACACATGATTGGTCTAGAAAACTAGACAGTAATGGTAGTTTGTAGTCTTTGTCCGTCAGTTTAGTTCAAGTCGAAATTACATTATTATACGCTTAAAATAAATACATAAATTAACAAGATGCGCTCGGGCTAAGGGAACTAAAAGCTCGCTGAGAATTAGCAGGTACGGGACCGAAATCTTCGCGTTGTCTAGTCTACTGCTTTTTGCTCGACTGCGTTTGTCCACGGTACGCGAGTTCTTGCGCATCTATCGATCTACCCCATCCACCGTGTCCTCCCGATCCACCATATCCGCCACCAATATCTCCTCCGTAACCGCTACCACCGTATCCACCATCGTGCGAAGAAACGTGGCTGGTACTGTGATGTGGGTGGGCTACAACTTCGTACGTTACATGTTTGCCACCCCCGCTTCCTAGCAGTTTCTTGAGACCGATGATGGCAGAAAGTACAAGTGCGATTTTGCCGATGAGAAGCGCCTTTCCAGCGATGAGTGCGATGCCGGCTAGTGCGAGTTTACCCAAAATTGCAGCTTTCAAACCGGCAATGGCTAAAAGTGGTCCGAAAATTTTTCCACCCTTCTTCTTCTTTCCTCTACCCTCCTCCGTTTCGACCGAGTTTTCGTCTTCATTCATGCTGTCCATTACATCACCGAACGAACGTGCCGCCGAATTGAATGAATCGACGATTTCGCTTCCTTTCAGGTTCAATTTCAAGGTATGCGATTCTAAAAAGCGTTGCACGCGATTGAAGATCAACGATTCGATTGATTCATCTCCGCTAATTGCACGAGGGGCTCCTTCCGGTTCACCGTCTTGAGTTTTCACTATCGTTAGTCCATCTGTAATCGTGATCGTATCTTTGTGTCCCAACATTTTATCCACGAACGAAAACAACTTATATTTAACGCACGACATTGAATCCTTTCGTAAACAGTCCGCGTAAATGCTATCCAAAAGGTCGTTTTCTGTTTGTATGGAGTTGCGAGAAGCGCGTGGTTCCTCTTGCGTAGGAAGGGCACATGATGTCGCAATCGCGAGACACAATACTGTTATCACTTTTAACGAAGCCATGACCGGTTTGGTTGCTGATCGGTGTTTGATGTTGTGGTGATGTGCTGCATGTATATATGAATGACTCCCTCCTCTTTTAGGTAGTTCAAGAACAATTTGGGTCCAGAGACTATAATAACGGCCGCGGGGCGATCACTTGGACCGCTTTCTCACAGAAAACTCGCAATAACCTCATTTCCTTCCTCCCTGTGCGATATGCATTTACTACTATTGATGAGTAATTCCACCATAGAAAGTACAATAATTCGCGAATAATGTATAATAATACTACCAGTAAAACTTAGCGTAGGACTTTTACAAGCCCAATAGGCGAAAACGCCAAGGGTGGACCGGCTTATAATTTAAGACTACCTGTGACATCAGTGCTAATGACCCACTTTAATTTACGAATTGTATTTTACTTTATTACAGCCCATTGTATTATTTACCTAATTAGCGTATATAAAATATCAAAAAAATTCGTACCACTTCCCACAATTGAATAATTGAGTTAGTATGCCCATATCATAAATATATAATATGCCTAACCCATATAATCGAGCTCTACGTACTGCTAATCCACATTAAGCTGGCAGATCCGAAAAAAAACAGACAAAAAGTTTTATATCATAGCAATGATAATCTACTTTTAATGCATAACGTAATAAGAATGATCACTTTTACTTCTTATTTGATGTTCGTGTTATTTAAAGTAGTTGTATCTTCTTGCGTTACTTTCTTTACTACGCTAGCCGAGGAATGCATTCAAATTTGATACGGTCAGATTAATCAATTAGATTCGGGTACCTGGGTGTTTACGTTACGCGAGCTCCAATTTTTGTTAGCGTACTAGAATAATCAATCACCGGAAAATCGACGTTATACAACTATTAAATTCGCTTTTTAAATGTTGCTTAAACCCGTAAGAAGGTTACGAGAAAGTCGATAATAACCAAATCAAACATTTTCCCTTATTTACAATGCAATATTATGCGCACTCGCCTAAATGGGTTAAGCGTCCATGAGATCCTGAACGGTTTCCCTAAGTCTATCGGTAACCGTATCGTTTACAGAAGAGAGAGTTTCTTACTCCATTAACGCATTTTATTATAATAAATTGAAATTATGTTTCACTCTTTATTTGCGAATACTACTTTCTTCATTATCGTATACGTATTTTGTGACACATATTTACGCAAAAATTTCGAATCCTTTTTTGTGTTAAATCCCTAAAAGCTACCGTGTAACAGAATTTCTAAGTTATATGACCATCTCTCCTTTGTATCATATAACAATAAATTCATTACAATCTTTAGCACACTTTCCGAATAGCACTAGGTAATCTATAAATATTATGGCAGGCCAATTAACATTAGTGACTTAAATTCTTCCACTTCTCGATATATAAATTTGCGAACCCATTATCACTCGATTCATTCTTTTCCCAAAAAGACGAAGAGACTTCTCGACGGAAGATGTGTGTTTGTACGGTTAAGTAGGTACGTCTTCTTATATAGTTTTCTTTTTTGATTTTTTTGCCACGAGCGGATTTCGCGATACTGTTGCATTTTGTTAAAAATAGGCCACATGCGTTGCATTCACGCATGGATATAATATTCAGATTCTGTACTAGCTTACTTTTTCATATACACAAAACTGGAAAGTCACTTTCTAGAGAAATCACGTGTGAAATGTGAGTGTTTCTCAGATGCCCGGATTTGAGATCCGTTTCCCATATCGTTCGTCATCCAATTTTAATGAAAACGGTTATTTCTCCTCTTCAGTCGGTACACAAATGGAACTATACAATAACTTAGTACCATACCCTATTTCAAAATAAGGCATAAAGGATCAAAAATATGCCATGATACGTGTTCCCTCAAGAGAATTCAGCCACTACATGCTTCAACACTAATGTTTCTGTTCTGTGAAAATTTTGCAGCCACGATTTGGTCCTCACTGTGGTTACTGTAGGTCTCAACGTTGGTGCTATATGAGCATTTGACTCTCTTTTGTTATACATAAGTTTTTCTCCACCAAATTTTCTGCGATTATCCACTACTAATATTTAATTTCATTCAATGTATTAAATCAAATCTGCTGCTGATTGTCCATAAATTTGGTGCCAAAGACAACAAATGTGTGTGACGTTTCTAATGGGAAGAAGAGTGGTTTAAATAAATTTTTGTACTATCTACTAGCTTGGCCGTGTTAAGTACTATGCTAACGGGTGTACATATCGTTTGAAGAGTGCAACATAGATACCGCTAATGCGATTATTAACACGGATCTAAGCAACTTTATTAAATCTGCCACAGATCACTCACTGCATATAAATGCGGAGAAAAGTAAAATTCTTTTATTTGGCTCAACACATAATTTATTCAATCGGGAACAGATAATATCTAAGTTAAATATTCAAATCAACAATCAGTCTTTGTCATTTGTTAATAATGTTAAAAACCTTGGTTTAATTATAGACTCTACTTTAAGATTTGAGGAACATATCAAGGTGTGTATACAACGTGCCTACGCGGGATTGGGGTATATTTATGGGATTAAGCACCTTCTAAATTCAAATTCAAAAATTCTATTATGTAATTCTCTGGTTCTTTCGCATTTCAGCCACTGTTCTACAGTGTATGGCCCTTGTCTCACTGACCGTAATTCTAGAAGGATAGAGGTTGTACAAAAATCGTGCCTAAGACTAATCTTTGGTATCAGGAGAAGGCTACCCATTTCACATAAATTATCAGAAATTAAATGGTTAAACATGGAGAAAAGACGCTTACTTCGTGCTTCCGTTCTTTTTCACAAAATCGTAACCTTTAAGTCACCTCCTTATCTTTATAACAAAATAACTTTTCGCACAGATGTACATAACATTAACATTCGCCGTAAAGACCACATAACCATTCCGCAGCATAAAAAAGGAATATTTCAGAGGTCATATTCGTACGCGATTGCTCATGTATATAATACTTTGCCAGCAGATGTAAAATGTTATGTACCAGATAAATTCAAAGTTAGTGTTCGTCGACTCCTCCTAAAAACATCCTAAAAACATAATAAATATGTAAAATATTTCCGTGTTAAAAACAATTAACAGCTTACTTTGTAAACCACATCTTAATTGTCTATATATAATTATCTTGTTTCTTGAGTTTTAGATGTACTACTCCATTTTTTGTTTCACTTTTAGTATGTATCATGACCTGTCTAGTTAAATACACTAACATAAAATAAATTAAAGGTTGAGTGGAAGAGCAGACACGGATGATATCCCTGTCTGAACTCCGCCATTTAGACAGGCTCTGTATAGAAATTGTCTATTAAAGTCATTTATTATTATTATTATTATTATTATTATCGTACAAAGTTGCACTTGCGAATTGCGATTATACTTTGCACCACGGATCCTATTGCTTTGTACTAAGTTGCAATCTAGCTATTCGATGCTATAATGACAATAATTATTATTTTAAATGTAATTTAAAACTTATTAGGCTGGTTCTTCCATCTCAGTGACTGCCTGATTAAAAGGCAGTCGATGAAACCCTAGTGTGACACCAATGGCACAAATTAGTACAAAGAAGAAATGCTTCTTAATGCTTGAACTATCCAGCACTGTAACCAAACTAACGAACCATGATAGAAGGAAATTGTCATCATTCTATTAAAATAAATTATATTTTACCGTTTAAATGTATTTTCAATGATGCAAATTTACGTACAGTAAGTTTGTGCATGGCACAAGCCTGCCATGGCGGATCTTCTTTATTTAAAAAATTCAGTCATATCGATTATTCATATATCCCACTCTAAATTTTGGATCTAACATGACCTTATATATATATATATATTTGAATGAAAATTACAATCAATACTTATTTATAATGGAAATATGGTTTATATTTATTATATTTTTATTATATTTTATATGACCTTAATGTCGCCCTTTTTTCCAGTAATTTAAGTATAATTACCTTTAGTATAATGTTTGTACACAAAACTTTAATTTTATGGGGCTTCTCCCTCGGCTTCTCCCGTAAGATTAAATAAATAAATAAATATATAAATAAATAAAATAGGAATTTTTTTAGAAAAATCAAAACAGAATCTTCTTGTATTTACCATTACCAAGACGCCGCGCCGTTTGTATTTTGAAATTCCTAAATTTTAAGTGAGTTTAAAACGAGGTTTAAAGTGAATTGACTAAAATATCCTAACTTGAATCGGAGCTGGGATCTTATGCTGCAATTTTGATTCCTAACATCTCTACAACCTACATGCCAATAGGTCAACTCTCATTTTCATAAAAATCCTAGAGAGTCAAGTTCTCAGACCATCTAAAGAACTCCGTACAAACATTTGATACAGTCAAAGGTACAAACTATCTGAAGCAATAACAGTGTTATATCGTCCTCCATATATGTTGGATTTTCAGAATGCTTAAAGGAGATAACTTTTTCGAAAAATTATTATGATAGCACGCTCAAGAGTCTTTGAGTTCTGCTTAATAGTGTAATGGCGGATACCAGAAATACAAGGTATGAGCGGCTACTCATTAATATTTTAGACTCTAAATGGAGTCTTCTGTTGTTATGAAAAATGTAAAAGATTCTTCAAAATTTCAAGCGCATAGGTAGTGAACTTTGATTTAGGAACATTTGACCAGGACATTTGCATTGATTTTAGGACGAGGTATAGCCCAGTCAAATGGTGATTTTTCCAAAACAAAATTGCGGAAGTTTTTTTCTCAACGGTTTTATATGTTTTCGAGGGTGCTGAATCTAAATTTATGGTTTGCTGCCTTATAGGAGATCGGCTTCATAGCCAAAAACGCAAAAAATCGGAATTTTTCAGCACTTTTTTTAGTTGTTTGCTTATATCTTAAAAACTACACGTTTTTTGAAGATGTGCGTTCTACACAAAATTAAAGCAAACAAAATTTCCTACAAAATGCACTAGTGCACTTTGATTTTGTGTTAAGCGGTCATCGCCCTAGAGCTCAGTGAAACGAAATGATTGTGCACAGGATCATCATTTCTTTGAGCG